TACGTAAGAACATATCAAGCGGCGTGGTCACCTTTCGGAGCTTGCGGCAAAGTTTGGCGTCTATAACAGACACAGCGGCACCGGTATCCACAAGAGCGTATGCATGGGCGCCGTCTACAAAAACTTCGACGATATTTGACGGCAAGGTGCGAGGACTTGAAAAATTCGATAGCGCAGTTCTTGCCCCTTTAACTGCGACGGCTAGTTTCCCTCATTTTGAGGGGCTGGTCGTGGACGCATGGGTGACAAGGAGCGTCGATTGGGTGAAGGTGAGCGACGAGACGAAGTTGCTGGATAATCACGGGAAGACGTGTTTGACTGACGATTCGAACTTTCATAACCAAAAGGTGGTCGGTCCATGTAGTTTCTTCGTGGTCGGACGTCTGTGTAGGCGGGCACGCGACGACGGCAGTATCGGGAGATATGGCCAGGTCCACCGCACGCAAAACAGATCGGCCGGTTATCGCGCGTTCGCCAGGCATTTGCAGCAAGGGGCGCCGCCCACGCGGCATACGGCTGAGTCGAGGCTGTGGTAGCGAGGGGAGGAGCCCATGCAACGGAAGACTGAGTAGGAGCGGTGACATGCGGCAGTCCATTGAACGGCGAGGTCTGGTGTGGCTGCTGCCTCTTTGCTGCGTCAGCATAAGAAAGAGGCGCGGCGACAACTTGCTGCTGAAAGGGCACTGGCATAGCCTCGGCAATCTGGTCCTGAAGTGCATGTCGGAGCATGCACTTCACGGTGTCGGTGGTTGCTCTTGCTGCTGCTGCGGGAGCTCTTGGCGCTGACAAAACGGCAGGAGGGAAAGCTGACGGGCGACCTCCTCACGCACAAAGTCTTTCATTTGTGCTAGAAGGCGGGAGTGGTCAGGTACGACGTCCAGTGCAGCGAGTGGTTGGTTAGGCTGAAATGGACGACGGGTGAGAGGTCGTTGCCGTCATAATTCGTCGTAGTTCTGGCTCAAAGTTACCACTTAAGACACCGTGCCAGGAGACTTCGCCAAGAGCATTTGAAACACGTCGTCATCAACACCTTTCATAATGTGCTGGATCTTGGCACTTTCGCTCATTGCGGCATCGACGCGCTTGCAGAGATCGAGTAAATCTTCGATATAGGCGGTAAACGTTTTGCCAGGTTCTTGTGCCCGTGAGCGCAGGCGTTGTTCGGCGCGCAACTTCCGCACAGAAGGGCGACCGAAAACCGAGGATATTGCCTGCTTGAAAGTGGCCCAGTTCTCGAACTCGGATTCGTGGTTTGTGTACCACAGTTTCGCCACATTAGCCAAGTAAAAGTTGACGGTGCTAAACTTAGCAGCCTCATCCCACCTGTTTGGTCCACTGACTTTTTCGTAGGACGACAGCCAGTCCTCGACGTCCTGGTCTTCGGCGCCCGAAAAGATCGGGGGGTCTCGCTGGTGAACCGGGCCGGGGCAAGTAGGAGCCGCGAGAGGTGCTGTCTGTTGGGCAGCGTCAACTTGCATGGTCGACGGCAGGATGGGGGATTTCGTTCGCAGGATTTCAAGCTGGACAATTGTGCCCTCGCGATCTCCGACTTCAGCGTAGCTCTCGCCGACTGGTTCGCCCTCCGCGGTCTCCTGAAGCCGTGCAGCTCTCGCATTGTGGTGCCCCGCCCTTGGACTGCTTCGACCAGATCCCCACTTTCCTATCTCCTTCTTTTTCCTCTCGTTGGCTGTCTTCTTCTCCGTCTATTTTCCTTCTATTCTTTTTATCCCTCCTTCCCCCCAGCCCTACAAGGCATTGCGCCGTGTCGCCTGAAAGCAGACAGAAATTAGGTGCCTTTTTCCTCTTCATTGTAACCACTACCACCACCACCACCACGGCAGGATGCGGGATCGGAGTTCCAGGGTGTAGGTGATGCAGTTTTACCCAGCACGATCCACCAAATGTAAAGGGGATTTATTGAAGGACTCAGCAAGCGGGTGGTAGCTCTAAAGGAAGGCAGGCGAACCCAGATGACGGTGCTTGATCGCCGATCTCATGCCTTTTTCTTGTGCTGATGATAGCTGACCTGATGGTATCAACGTCTTTGTTATTCACTACAAGTCTAATATCTTCCCCTATACTTTCCTTGGCATTATTGTCTGTTACATCTCCTTAATATCGTGTGAAGCACAGAAAGAACGAGCCCTTATATATACACTTCTTTTCTATATATATATATATATAGCGTATCAAACCTTTTAGTATCTTGAGTTTTTACTGAAGCCTTGATGCTTTCGTATTAGTTTTGTGCCACTTGAGCCGAAATCTCCCTGTTGACGCGATTGATATAGTTGCTAACATGAACCATTTTTTTAAAATCTACCTTGCCACTGCATTGCGTTTTGTACCAACGGCAAAAATTGATAGAATTTGTATCGGAGAAAAAAAATACGGCATATTCACGGGGTGAATGATGATGAATGGGCGAAGCTCCGGAGGGATTCATCGGTAAACTGTGAACCTTCCGTGTAATTCGCCCAGTCGATCATCATGTAAAGACGTGAGAAACGCTGTGTGTGTATATACACAAATCAACTTTTATTTGTTCTTAGACGATGGATGGCTTGCGATGTCCCTTAATTATGACGGTTTTATGGTCTGTGAAATGAAGGGAGAGCGGTTCCTGTATAAGATATCGCGTTTTTCATCAACTACAAGTACCGCTTTCTAGTTTATAACATCTTGCATCTTTTCATCATCAGCTACAAGTACCACCATCTAGTAAACACTACAAGAACTAAACGAGAGGTGGCTACATACAGGAGATGGTACCGCCATCTAGTGAACACTGCAAGAACTAAACTAGAGGTGGCTACATACAGGGGACGGTACCGCCATCTAGTGAACACTGCAAGATCTAAACTAGAGGTGGCTACATACAGGCTACAGGGGACGCACAGCCCACGCCCTAAGGAGCTTCGCCCCTAAAAACACTTCCAATTGAATGTAATGCATAATGTCTGAAGAGTGCCATTTCCGCGAAGCAGAGCCTAGTTCTAAACACCTACAGCGAGGTGTTGAGCCCTGATTAAATGTCAATCGCATAAGTGGGGGAGGTGGGATAAAAGGAAAGGGCAGAATAGGACAGTTTCACCTTGCGGCCATCTTTGCCTAAAACGAACAAAGAAAAACTTTAAGTTCTTTCCTTTATCGATGTGTGCTGATTGTTCGTTTCTCTACTCACAAAGATCTCGATCGTTCAAAGAGATCATTTGGGAAGACAAGGGCAGCCGTTATTGAATTCGTGTGGATAGACCTTGCATGCTTATTTAATGGCCTGTATGTCCTCAATCACCGTACGCCGCATGCTGGGCCTGACAGCTCCTCGCTTGCGGTCGGACATCGAAGAGTACCATGTGTCTCGCGCTTTGCAAAACCAATATAACAGGATGTTAAGTACAATAAGTTACTACAGTGAATTGACTCGGTTAGTCTTTGGTCCGCTAGTGTAGCAACAAATGTTGATATCAGTGTTGCTGCCGCACATTCTTCTTAGGAAAGCCGATAATGTTATTATAATGACAGCTAGGCAGGCGAATTAAGGCTCTTTAATAATTCTCAAAAAGAGGTAAGAAGAAGAAGACACGGAAGGCTGCGTGGTGTCTAAGGGTCTGCGTCAGCCAGCCATAACGTCATAGATTTCGATGGAGTATTTTAAACATTGCCTTTATTTTAATATAACTTTTTAATTATTGGTGTTTTACGTTCAAGCGAAAAGAAGGAAGACAAAAAGAAAGGAATGGGAGAGACGTTAACCAGTTCAGCACGACCCATACGCTACCCTACACGAGGGAAAGGAAAGAGAGAGATTGAAGGAGTAAAAAAAGAGAGAAACAGTGTGGTAGCGCGCACACACACACACACACACACACACACACACACACACACACACACACACACACACACACACACACACACACACACACACACACACACACACACACACACACACACACACACACACACACACACACACACACACACACACACACACACACACACACACACACACACACACACACACACACACACACACACACACACACACACACACACACACACACACACACACACACACACACAAAGCCACAGAGCGATAGTGTTGTGCGGTACTCGGTATCATTGTCAGTAACAAGTGTTCGTTTGAGTCCGAAAACTACAAATAATATTATAAGGAACATAGCCATGAAGCGTTCCGAAAGTTTTGACGATCGGGTTCATTCCGTACACCCATGTGTAAGTACGCAGGCCTTCAGCACTCCGCCTGATTTTGATCCCGCGACCTTGTGTCAAGCACCATTATGGCTACCGGTAAATACCCGCGTTACAGTAAACGCGCAAACCCGATATCTCTACACAGAAAAGACCGACTGCGCTGCATATTTATCAATCAAAATAGTCACTTGGCAAGTAAGACAAACTACGCTCTGCAGCAAAACCTTGATGAAGAAATAAACTGTGTAATGTTCGTCAGATAACGTTTCTGGCGCGCCGAGTACGGTGAGTTCCCACGCGAACGATGCAATTAATTTCCGCCAATGGAGTATTAGTTTGGCTATGGAAACAAAAGTCGCTGCTTGAAGGCTCATTCGATAAGTTCGACGTTATTTGTCCTCCGTCTTTTTGTGGGCATCACGTACAAACAGCGTAAATTAATTCCGCTGATAAATGTGTTTTACAGATTTCCTCCAATCAACCCTTTTTATAATTGGCAAGTGCCCTCCTCTGCACTGCACATTTGCCCAAGTAATGGCGTCACATGTCGTGCTTCAAACGTAGAAGCGGTCCTAGTTGAGCGTGCTTGGGCTGGTCTATTATGAGTGTTTGTGTCAGGAGAGAGGACTCTACATTTCTCACGTCACTGCATAAGCTAACCGTGCTTGAACAGGCTATTTGCAGTGAGTAGCCGTCATTATTTGTTCAAACTGCATAGCAGGAGAGCTAGTTTTACTATATCGAAAAAAGTATAATGCATGGTTCATCCTCTTTCTTGTTTGCAGACCCCTTGGAGCCAGACAAGATATCAGAGGTTGGCCGGAAGAGCAGTGCTCATAAGTACCGCAGCTTATCCATCATAGTCCCTGTTTGCTGCTCAATCGTGGTCCTCATAGCCGTCAGCGTGGCCTTCATTGTGCTGATCTGGCGAAAAAGAGGCTCTCCTGCATCGCCCGCTTCGGCTCTCGGTGCTTACGAAGGTGACCAGTTTTTCCGCAGGCTTTACTTATGGCGCACTGATGATCAGCATGATGCCTGGGTTCACTGGTGCATGGACTCACAGTGAAAGACGTGAAGAGCCTTATTTTATACTGAATTATTAACAATTAGTGACTTATACGTGGTACCTACAATGCACCTTCGAGCACTGTAACACGGCTGTCACATGATCTGGCGTGTGCTATTTGTCTGTGTGTCACTGTCTTACGATGAGTGGAAGAACACTGCTGATGCATAGAAGCACACAAGTATTGATAAAGTGCTATAAGCATTCATTCAGCAGTTGTCATCATATACTGCGGTGCTGTTTAACGGTAGGCAGGAGAAACAACCTCCGGGATTTGTGGGTATAGTGACGCTTGTTTTACTTAAATTCTTTCTGAATTTTTTTCTCACTCGCTGTTTGGCATTGCTATCGGTACAACCTTTGGAACAGAGTGCTCGCCATGGCAGTTTACATATTTTCATCAAAGGCATCGGTAACGTTGAAACTTCTGAGAACCTAGTCATTTGAGAGCGCCACTGAGTGATGGTGTGATGTCGATATATTCACATGCATAACGTTTTGCTCGTTTCAGAGCTGGACGAAGTTTAACACTAGTATTCGTGCTCGTATCCGTGCTTTACGCAGGGGTGCGATTTGGCGATGACGGCAAGATGGATTCGATCACTATGTCGGAACTAGAGAAGTCTCACATGAGCTTCGAGAGCGGCGACGCTGACACCGACGGCCGCAAGTACTACTACTCGTCGCCGTGCGTGTCCTCGAAGATGGCCGACATCTCACGCGTGGGCAATGGCCGTGATGACGACGCGGACGAGGCGTGTCTGCACACAATGGCGAAGGTAGCAGCAGCCGCCTCTCCCTACGCTTCAGCTAGGACCGTCGTACAGCCGTACGACGTGCCACAGCATCGGCGAGATGGCTGCGTGAGTAGCATGAGATAATCACAGTAAAATTCGCAATGCCTACGGGCTATAGGTGGCGCGCCGTGCAATCGAAGATGGCTGCTTGAGGAGCGTCAACCCGTGATTTCGCATAGGAAAAGACAGTACGAATGAACGTACGGCCTGTGTCGCCTTCACCGGATGAGCTCTTCATCGTCGGATGAATGTGCATTGGGCTAAAGTACTTTCGCAAACGATAGCAACTGCTTAATGTTCACTACGTAATTTTTGGCCATAGTGTATAGGGTGGGGGTGTCAGCTGACTAACCGTGCATCAACGATGTCTTGCGTAATTTTTTGCGTGATGCAGAAAAGTGTGCGAACTAAAACTGGCGTATGAACAGAACGGCACTTTGAGATAATTTATGCCCAGCCCGCCTGATGAATTCACCGTAGAGGTAGGCCGCTAGAGGGTAGCGGGCCGTAGCAGCTGCACGGGACCGAATGTTTAACACAACGATGGTTTGCAAACATATTAGGCCGTCGTCATTGACTGCACTGTTAGCACGACGGAGTTGCTTCTTCAACGGAACACTAGCATTTAACATCCCATTAAGTACCACTTTTGTCACAGTCAAGCTCAGACTCTAACTGTGCGCAAATTATTGCGCTCGGATGTTGTAGGTTTGATCAGCGCGATCACAACAAGAATATCGAAAGGCATACACGCGTACACTCTTTGCAACGTCGGAATTACGCAAATTCATTAAACGACATCGTTCGGATGTTACCGTGAAGCTCAGGAGAAGTTAGCAGAAAGATAGGCGTGGATAGTAGTCGTAACTGCACGTTTATTTGCGCTAACCATTTCCCTTCGCTGGTCATGCTCGAGCGTGTTGGCGGCATGTGCTGCTTCGTAATATCCATTGTAATTAGACTGCGTGTAATGCACAAAAAACTGCGTTTTTATTTTGACCTTGCTGAATGATATTATACAATAAAACAATAAAAGTGACTCACGAGTGTAAAAAAAAACATTAACCCACTAAGGGACGTGAAGTGCGCCTCGCTGCTCGTGAGCTAGCAGCTGATCGTTCATGCCACTGTCCCTCTCGGTGTGTTGTCAACCTTCTAAGTCCAGTGAAAAGTTCTCGACGTCAGAATGCTTTCTTTGAACATTACTGCTGAAAGTAATCGAAGGACTTCTCTCCGAACGACTTCGACAACACCAACAACGCATCACTCGCCACGCACAACATCAACACGAGGTCACTAACAACCAAAGTACTTTACCCATAGTACTTTTACCAAAGTGTCTGGGCGCGGAGAACGTTTTGCCACATTTCGCTCTGAAGCCCGGCAGCAAGAAAATTGCTTGCAGTGTGCTTCCATCTGTCAACAAACGTAAAAAACAAGCGGCACAGCGTTGGCCAAGGTTTGAGAGAGAAAATCGCGAGCTTGTGCTACTTTCCGCGTACGATGAACATTATGGGGTTAATGAACTACAAAAGAACTGGAGATTACTATACGCACGTAAAACACAAAACTTTCGCTCACATGTTGAAAACGAATGACATCTATCGTGTCACGAATGGTCCGAATTATTAACTAATGCAAGAAACATTTAAAATGGTCTTTGTTCATTTCTTCGCAACGCGTTAACACTTATGGCGTATTCGGTTGGCCACTCTGGTCCTCTGGCTCAGAGTCGCCAGATGCACAGGCAGCGTAACAAACCGAACACAGCGGTGATCTCAGAGCGCCCAGAGAAGCGCGCCCTGTATCGCCATCATGCAGCCAACACGAGAAACTGCCGGGTAAACAGTGCTGCGCCTGCGCCATGGCAACAAATGGTGCCGATCAGTTCAGTGAATATCTCTGATATGTCTTACCTCTCTTATATTTTTTCTCTCTCACACGCACATTTCTGGATGGAGCGAAAGCTTTCTGAGCTCAGCACACGTATCTGGTGATCTTCCTCGCCTGAATTGCTATCCTCAAGGCAAATCACGACGCTGCCTGCGAGCTGTTGTAGCAACGCATTGATGTTTCCTCCGCCTTCACGCTAGCTGCCTCGTTATTGACATGGTGCATATATTTCTTCGTAAATGTGAACACGCCCCACACACACCCATAAAAGCCACCAACAACGCACGTGCACGAAGTATTACGAGCCCGGCGCTGCCCCCTTCCGAAATGCGCACTTGCACTCCTCACCTGCATGGTTCACCTGCCGGCAGCTACGTCATTGGCGAGCTTGTGTCACGCGATCCGTCATCCCGGTCAGATCGCGCCATGCTCTCACTTCGAAGTCAGAGCGGTCGAGAGCTCTCCGAGTCAGTGGTTGACGCTCTGAAAAAACCAACGGAAGATAGTCCGATCGCTCGAATTCTACCAACCGAAGGCGCAGCCCCTTTTCAGAGCGCTCTAGAGCACTCGATATCACCTAACCGAATACGCCATTAATTTAGCACAGCTGATCAAGAGAGAGTTTGTCTACTCACTATCCTCGAGTGGACACTTTTAATTCCGCTTCGCAACGCGACGGTTTATGGGCATTGCGAATACAACAGGATCTTACGTTCGTTATACAAGAGACAAAATACTTAGCGGTTATTTACGTTCTGAAAATGAAATTCGATGCCCCATGGCGTTCACGTAAAGCCTCGTTCAACGGTCTGTCTGACGCACTGTATACCGTGAAAGTAACTAATAATTGAATTACAATTCTTATTTTATGCGCGATACCATTAAATTCGTTAGCTGCCAATGCAGATGCTTCTTTAGCACGAAGGCAATGCATGGCTCAGACGGGGGCAAGAACGGAGAATTACCTGTGCGAGCACGGTGCACACATATGCAGCTACTTTGAAAAACCACACACCGTTTCTGCAACATTTGGAGAATGTACCCATGTCGGATGATTAGCCATGATTCATTAAGTCTTTTTTATATTGTGGCTGACACATCCAATTTCGGTGCTCCTGCTTCCCGCACAAGAGCATGCTTGATAAAGTCCTGGCAAATATGTCTGTTCCCTTTGTTGTAACTGCGGACTGTAAGGGTACTTCCAACCGCTATCATGCGTACAACACAAGCTCGACAGAAAAGTCTGTTCACGTCCATATACACGTTTTTGAACGAGCATTCTTTGTTGATTCGGATTATCCGCTTTCCAATATTGTCCGCGATAAAGAGACGTTGCTATCGCATGCAGCCTCACAGAACTTCAGAACTCGTAATGCTGACCTTGAAGCTTCGCGTTGGCATTACGTAAATTGCAGCAGTCACAGCGCAAGCATACAAGCTATCTAGAGTTCTCGAACCGGCCAACCACGGGCCAAGAGTTCCTAGGTGTGGCTAATTTTCTAGGCCTGTGGTTACAGAAAAATCGTCTCTGCTACTTGCCTCCTTCTTTTGGCTACTTTTTGTCTTGTATATTTGAGCAAGATGTTTAAAATCTGGGGACGTCGCAGCCGCTGGTGTTTGAGTAAGTGGTGACAAACCATAGCAGTCAAAGTGTGCTTGAAGCCCCAAGAACTGAATCAGAGCTCTTTGAGTATGCGGATAAACAGTATTGTAAAGTATTGTACGCACACATTCACGCCCTCCCCATCCCCCCACACGTTTATAACCTGCTAGTCATGCTAGTTATCCATATCAAAACAAAATCCTTTCTTATAGCAGCAGGGCGGGGCTCAGCGAAAGTGTTCCATGGGGCTCCATTTTTCAGATCAGCCATTGCCGAAAGAAGCTTTAAATAAATCACATTCGCAAGTAAAAAGCGACCAAAAGCATTTCGAACTCAGAGTGTTTTCCGCTGATCGACATTGAAAATTGGGTATCTCGCGCATAAAATGACCACTGAAGAACGGTGTGTTGATACATCACTAGAGAAAGAAAGCTCTGCATTTTGTAATTGCCACCTGCAATGCAGTTTTTTGAAAGATCACATCGATGTTTCTCGAAATTTGACATCAATGCTTCAGCAATGCCCCATACATAAGATGCGTAGTAGGCCTGTACTTTGATGTGACGTATCTTACATTTTTGTTCCAACATCCCCTCTCCTTTATCCCACTCCAACGTTCGTCACTGTCCGAGCCATATTCTCTGACTGCGACGAGCTAGCTGAGGTGAGTTTAGGAACCCTGATCTAAGACTATGCTTCTTTTCGGCCCATTGCAGAAACCCCGTCGGTCAAATGGTGTTCTCAAACAAGCCTTACGCAAGAACAAGCAACAGCATCCCATAGGTGAGACTTCTTGGTATGTGACTGTTGTGCACTGTGAATAAACCTGAATGACATAAATTATCATCGTTAAATTACGCGATCAGTCGCTTGCGGTGGAGATTTAGTGTGGCACGAAACAAATTTGTGCGAGATGTGTGTGTTGAACGCTTCGACGCTAAGCTTTTGTCACCGGGCTGGTCCCTGCGGTAAGTACTTGTTGGAAAATATTATATGACGCAGCAGCAAATTACCAAAATTTACACACCATTAAAATACTTCAAAGATTTGTATTTCGGTAAAATAAGTGCCAAAAAAGATGAAGTCTCCTTCACGTTTCTACTTCTTCGGCAGGGAAAAGCACTGGTGTGTCCTAAGCACAAGTGCTACAGGCCGCAAGTAGCATTTCACGTTCGAGTAACAATCGAGTACGTTTGATAATAATAATATTTTTGGAACTTAACGTCGCAAAACTACCACGTGATTATGAGAAGCGCCGTAGTGGACAGCTTTAGAAATTTCGACCACACGGGGTTCTTAAACGTGCACCCGAATGTGTGCACACAGGCCTACGGCATTTTCACATCCATCGAAAAAGCAGCCGCCGCCGCCGGGATTTAATTCCGCGACCTTCGGGTCAGCAGCTGAGTGCCTTCGCCACCAGGCCAATATGGCGGGGCGAGTGCAATTCGTATAATGCGTCAAGGCACATAAAATATCAAGCTGGAGTCACTTGTGAGTCCTCTTTTTTACATTTTATTCCAGAGCTATGCAGGGAAGACCAGTACCACGAGCGGTACACAGCCAAGTGTCGTGCCTCTTCTTACGACTACACCCCATGCGCGGAGTACGGAAGACACCCTGCGGCCTCTGCCTACCACGTGTCCGAGCCCACGGACGCCAATATACTAGACAGGTAGGTGTCACACTTTTATAATAGAGACGTTAATGGCGCGTTCACACTAGGATATGTGTTTCCAGTGATTAACAAAATTTCTGGCTATGAGCACACACCTGCGTACAGTAGGGGAGGGCCTTATCGCCATTAAGGGGGAGATACCTAGCTTACCCCATACTTTTCCTCAGTACGACGTTTTTCGTCATTGCTTAATGCACAGTTACGGCGACGCAGGTTATTTACAGTAATGGTGGCTGAGGGCCCGTGAGGTTGCGTTTCAAAAGCTATTTACTCCTTATTTTAACTGGAAGAAAGCCAGATCCCAAAGACTGGTCAATGCGAGAATCACGTTATCATTTCACATTCTCTCCTGCTCGCATGGGCAAACTTGTGTTCTTTCGGACTAGCCCCATAAAAGGGTGGGGGTGTAGGGGGGTTGTGTTAAAATTATGTTTTCTTAGGGAACATAGTTATATGTTCACCATGCACGCATATGGCTACGAGGCGTTCAAGAGGAAATTATCGGCTTAAGCGTGCTTGATACGATTATTGTGATGTTGAGGTAGGCTTTTTTGAATTAAATGAATATATGCAGAGGAGAGCACCCACTATGGTAACCTTTGTACTGTAACGTTTGGCGAGCTTTCTTATATAAAAGCAGAAGGTAAAACGTCGCTGAATGTATTGGTGGCACCTTAGAAACGTTACTTAGACTGTTGAACAGACGGTTCGAACTGTGGTTATGTGGGCTCACTTCAAATCATCTGTTTAACAGACTGAGTATGTAACGTTTCCAAAGTGTTTGGATTCACTTTGTAATAGATCACATATTGAAATTACAAATGACAATGAAATGTACATCCAAAACTTGATACAAGTTTGTATTGTCAATTAGCGCCATATAGTATTGGGCGTTACGATTTTTCTCTTCGCTTTGATTTGCTTACTGCATGCTTCTTGGAAACTGATTTGTCGCATTTAGCTAAAGTTGTTTGTAGCCCATGGATAGCGGGTGTAGAAGAGATGACAGCAGTGACGTAGGTTCTGGGTGGTTAGGTAGAATGTTGAAATAAGAATGAGAACAACACATAGAATGAAAGAAGTATGTGATTTTGTTGATATGCGAATGGAAGATTAGTCATGTCCCAGACAAAGATAAACAGTTGGCAAGCCATGTATTGCGCGATCGGGACAAACTTTTGGACTAGAAGAACGGTGCAGAAGAACTTGAGGAAACATGCCGGATAAAAAGAGAGATTAACCCAATTGGAGACTTGATCGAAATTGTGTGCGAGTAAATGATGCACCGCATCTGTGAACGATGGTTTCGTGGAGAAACCAGATACCGAATTTCGAGTTCCCTGTTTTCGAATACGCTGACGAAAACGCCATACTATTTTGCAGAGAAGTATGACGACGAGCCGGGGAAGGCCACATGCGGCTCGATGCCGGCCTCAGTTCTACGCAGGAAGCGATCACGTGAGACGTCGGGCCTGCGATGACGTCAGCGCGAGCTCTACGTCCAGCCTTCTTCAACGAATGTAAGCAGCACGATTTTACTGGATGGAAGCATACCAACAGCTGTCATGGCGCACCCATTATACCACCACGTGCTCTCGAGTGTGTGTTTGTGTGAGCTTGTGGGTTTGTTTAAGGGAATAGTTGAGTGCATGCATGTGCAAACCAACCCGATGTCCCTTTAATTAATTGCAATACTGAATGATTTTGTAGCAATAAATCCTGTAAACGTACAATATACTTATGATGCGGGTGCGACGCTTCTACAAATAGGCAATGTCAAAAGTTCATTACAAATGCTCACTGCTCAAAATTTAGCCTTATCAAGCCTTGAACGAAATTTACTACAGGTCTTGCGCTAGCAATTGACTATTAAGCTGATCATTGAAGTAATAGTGGCCGGCTACCTGTGCAGTTTCTGAGGGACCAGGACAATAACCCGAGGCGATAATGAAGAGTACCCAAGATACAGTTTTTTTTCTACGAAGACTCCAGGACTTGCTTCACAGGGTGCGTTATACTCGCGTCTTTTGATGGGTGTCACAAATATTGACTGAAATTGCATTTTTTTCTCTATGTGTCTCATGTAATGGTAGGTCTGTATAGGTCATGTAACTGATGTAACTGAAGACATTTAAAAACACCCTGCGAATGCTTTTCCGAATAGTAATCGAGTGACCTTTATATTACTGTTTATTGCCTCATGATTAGACTGCTCTAAGAGTTTCAAAATCCGTTAAGCACGTGTGGCATTGCTAGATATTGTCACACCTAAGGCCATTGGTCTTTGTTTCCGCCCCAGCGTGCGTGCTTGAAGCTAATTTGGGAGAGGGGGTAAGAATGGGTAGTTGACAAGGTGCTAAAACCATAAGTAAGAGTGGGTTACGACATTGGGCACGTTCTATTATCATTCTAATTGCTTTATTGTGCTTACTTTCGGTGTGACCACGAGTGCATTGTACGGGATCGCGGCAGGGGCACAACGCGACAACCCCGGTGCAAATCACAAGGCTCAAATCTTCCAGCGGTGGTGTCTGCGCACTTTCGGGTGTGTCACGCCGTTGGTGCTGGGTACATGAAACCACTTGTCGATAGAAGAGCAAGCAATTTCTAGCTGACTTGGCCCTTTGATTGTAAATTCGAAACCACATGCAGCGCTATAATATTTGTCTCAGATATTTGCAGGAGCCTCAATTACCCCATGTTGGAAAAGTGTTGCAGGGCGCTCTTCAGTCGATCTTCCTATAAATTCATCTAGGGTGCTTGTGTGTAGGAGGTCTCTTGTACAATAATATGCTGGAAATCGCGTTTTACAATTCAACCAGCGCGTTTGCTTTGAGCAAGTACACTGACACCACTTGTACGCGAATAAAGAATGTTTGCCAGCGCTAAACCTTCTACATTTATCTCTTCCGAAAAAAAATAACCCTAGATTTTTTTGTGTCATATATTTAAGCAAATAATGATATTCAGAATGCAATATTACTTACTGCTTGCGTAGATACATGTGCGCACAAGCTCTACTCTTTCAACAACAAGATGTCTTTGGTCTGGCATTGCAGCTAACAAGGTAGCCCAAGAGGCAAGCTCATACTTCTAGCAACTACAACCGACAACACTGATCCTTGCAGGCCCGGATCCTGGAGCCAGTGCTGATTTACCAGAACGAAGTTTTCTCCCCAATCGCCTTCGCGACGTTTTTTATTGCACTTCCACTATTTTAATAAAAAAAACGAAACTGCAATACCATAATCGATGCATCGATGATCCACAGAGAAACAGCTATGGCTCATTTTTTGTGCTTTCAACCAAAAATTCCAGGTATGTGGCACATGAAAAAGAAGAGAGTCAAGATTGGAACGCCGACTAATGCAATCGGTACTCTCCTCGACGATTCCCGATTAAGTGTTGACACGCAATATTAAATGACTGACACGATAATTAGAATTTTGTTTTTGTCACAAAAGACAGCCTTCCTGTCTTACCCCACGTCGAGTGAAGCAGACGTGCTGATGCACAACTACTAGTCGGCTGGCGGCAAATTCCGGTTTGTTCTTTCAGAAACATTACGTCGATAGGTGTTAACGTCCTATAAATGAATACCGTCATCAAATGGCCCTCTGAGTCCTATATTGTGGGCTTAGCAGTCACAGGTGATCTTGAGTTGATGTCAGACAGCGGAAAAATGTAGCGATGAGACTTGCGAGTGAGCACGGCCGAGTAAAGGGTGAGGTGCGCGTGAGCGAGTGTGCGACGCAAGAAAGAAACATATATTTTTTGTAGATGCGAAGCAGCTTATGGCGAAGCTCAATTCAGTGTACGCAGTCACTCTAACTGCACACGCACAACTGCTGGCGCAAGCAGTTGTGCGTGTTCCCAGCCCTATTTACCACGTGCTCACAGGAGGAGGTCGTCAGAAGCCTAGAATGGAAAGACTTAGGGATACGAGTTAGCGGAGAGTATCTTAGTAACCTGCGTTTCGCCGATGACATTGCATTGCTGAGTAACTCAGAGCACGAATCGCAATTCATGATTACTGAATTAGACAAGGGGATCAAAAGGTAGGTCTTGAAATAATCTGCAGAAAACGAAAGTGATGTACAACCTCGGAAGAGAACAGCGCTTCAAGATAGGTAATAATGCACTTGAAGTTGTAAAAGACTACGTACACTTAGGACAAGTAATAATCGTGGAGCCGAACCCCGAGATTGAAGTAAGTAGAATAATAAAAATAGGGTGGAGCACATTCACCAAGCATTCCGAAAGCATTCCGAAAACCGCTCTCCTGTTTTATAAAAGAGTGCCACTCTAAAACGCCTCATTATAATTGGTGGAGGTGCTGGGTAACGCCTAATCCTGGAACTGCGAAACCGTACGTTGCCTCCAGTTGCTACGATGTCCACGGACGAAGATCAGCAGGCGGCCGCCTCGGCTCCAACTACTGCAGCTCCTGTCTGTCTTGGCTCCTTTCGGCAACGCGATCCACCTACCTTCAGTGGAACCGATGACAAAGACGTGGAAGACTGGCTCGACGAATACGACCGGGTGAGCAAGCACAACAAGTGGGACGATGCGCACAAGCTTACTGTCGTCCAATTTTATTTGACCGACGTCGCCAGTCTGTGGTACCGCAATCACGAGAGAGACCTCCCCACCTGGTCGGCCTTCCGAACGGCGTTTGCGGACTTGTTTGGCCCTCCAGCGCTTCGCAAACTACGGGCCGAACAGCGCTTGCGTACCAGGGCTCAGCAGAATGGTGAGAATTACACCAGTTATATCGAAGATGTGGTCGACCTTTGCCGGCGCGTCAACTCGGACATGACAGAAGCCGAGAAGATCAAACACATCTTGAAAGGCGTGACTGACGACGCATTTCAGATGCTTGTCGCCAAAAGCCCGCAAACGGTAGCGGAAGTGATCCAACTGTGTCAGAGCTATGATGAGCTGTGGAAACAGCGTGACACCACTCGTCGTGCCACCGCGCCATGTGCAACAATCTCCGCTTTAACATCGGCTGGCTCTATAGATCACACCACTTTGCTTCTCGAGATCAAGCAATTTGTACGAGAGGAGGTCGCACGCCAGTTGTCCCTCGTGCCTTATACCTCCGAAGGTGCCCCATCTACTTTAGCGCCATCAATACAGCGAGTAGTCCAGGAGCAAGTGTCCGAGGCGCTACCAGCAGCTCACGCACCACCTGTGGCTGCTCCATTAACCTATGCCGAAGCACTGAACGGAACCCGACGTCCACCTGTCGCGAACGGCCACGTTTCTTTGTCGCGAACGCCTACGTCCACGCGTCCCTTTGTCGTACAGACTGAGCCTATGTACCAGGCTGCCCGTCCGTTCTCCCGACCACCACCTCCACGCTTTCAGAACCCTTGGCGCACTCAAGACAACCGCCCCATATGCTTCGCCTGTGGAATTGCGGGTCACGTGGCACGATTTTGTCGACGGCGTGAGTTTTTTCTGCGTGACGACATCAGGCCCAACAAATATGATTTACCCCCACGACCGGAGCCGGCTGTATATGGCGAGACTACCACCATGGACACATTTTCACCTCGCCGGAACTTCAACAGACACCGGTCGCCTTCACCTCAACGCCGTTCCCTTTCCCCTATGCTACGTCGACCTCGCCCTGTCCCCGAGGAAAACTAGGAGCCGCAGTTCCGGGGGCAAGAACGGCGGATCTTTCGAACTCCACAAGACCTTGTTTTTCGCCGTCCAACGTCGTTGCTGTCTCCGTTGAAGGTATACCTGTTTTTGCATTGGTCGATACTGGCGCCGCAGTGTCTGTAATGACTGAAAAACTTTGCCGTCGACTAAAAAAGTCACAATGCCTCTACACGACTTCGTTTTAAGCACTGCGAGCGAGCAACGAATTCGCCCTTTTGCTGCATGCACAGCACGTGTCGTTATTGCTGACAATATTTATGTCGTCGAGTTTGTAGTGCTCTCGCAGTGTTCCCATGACATTATATTAGGCTGGGACTTTCTCTGCACTCATCATGCCGTCATCGACTGTGCTCGCGCGGAAGTGGAGTTCGCGCCGTTATGCGACGCTACATCACTCGACTCGTCCCTTTCACCTGCAAAAGTTTTCGTTGCCGCCGACACTTCGATACCCCCGTTCTCGTCCGCCCTAGTTCCGCTTTCCTGTGACGTCTATAGTGGCTCAACTGTTCTTTTTACGCCTTCTGAAACCGCTGTTCGCCGCAAGTGCTTCCTGATTCCTTTCGCCGTGCTGAATATTCACGATGGATCAAGTGCAATTTATGTATCAAATCCGTTTCCCTCGCCTTCCAAGTTACTGTGCGGAGAGTGCCTGGGCTTTGCCGATGACATTGATCCCTCGAGTGCACGTGTAGTTCCTGACCACTCGACTACGCTACCTATTGATGCTGTCGATTGCTGCGCGTCATCCTCTTCCCCATCATTCACCGACGCAATTTCGCGCTGCATCGACACCAACCTTACGGCCCAGCAGCGCACCGACATCATCGCCCTCCTCGAGCGCTTCCGCGCCAGCTTCGACCACCAGCAACTGACTTTGGGCCGTGCTTTCGCAGTATCTCACGAAATCCACACCGGCCTTCACGCTCCTTTACGTCAGCGTCCGTATCGGGTATCGGCATCTGAGCGCCGCATAATCGCGGAACAAGTTGACGAGATGTTGAAGCGAGGTGTTATTGAGCCCTCTAACAGCCCGTGGGCCTCCCCAGTTGTTCTAGTCAAGAAAAAGGATGGCTCAATAAGATTCTGCGTCGACTACCGCCGGTTGAATAAGATCACGCGCAAAGATGTTTACCCGCTACCTCGCATAGACGATGCCCTTGACTGCTTACAAGGCGCGGAGTTCTTCTCATCACTAGATCTGCGTTCAGGTTATTGGCAGGTTCCCATGGCTGAGGCTGATCGCCCCAAGACGGCTTTTGTTACCCCTGATGGCTTATATGAATTTAACGTCATGCCATTTGGGCTCTGCAATGCGCCTGCCACTTTCGAGCGCATGATCGACAACATCCTCCGTGGCCTGAAATGGCAGACATGTCTGTGCTATTTAGACGATGTCGTAATATTTTCAAGTGACTTTTCAACGCATCTCCAGCGGCTCGAGACAGTGCTTACTTGCCTCACCGCCGCCGGTCTACAGCTCAACTTGAAGAAGTGCTGTTTCGGCGCTCGACAACTCCTAATTTTGGGCCATGTTGTATCTAAAGATGGCATTCTTCCGGATCCGACGAAGTTCCGTGCCGTTGCCGAATTTCCCAAGCCGAAGACCTTAAAAGAACTTCGCAGCTTCCTCGGTTTATGTTCATATTTTCGTCGTTTTATTCGCAACTTCGCCTCCATCATATCGCACTTGACTGACCTTCTTGCCGGCAACAACGACCTTTCTAGTTGGTCGTCAGCTTGTGATGATGCATTTGCCACACTCCGCCACCTTCTTACGTCACCTCCTATACTGCGACATTTTGATCCTCTTGCGCCGACGGAAATACACACGGATGCTAGCGGAGTTGGCCTCGGTGCTGTGCTCGCCCAGCGTAAACCTGGATTTGATGAGTACGTCGTCTCTTACGCCAGCCGTGCACTTACAAAAGCAGAAGCCAACTATTCAGTCACCGAAAAAGAGTGTCTAGCCATCATATGGGCCATAGGCAAGTTTCGACCATATCTTTACGGCCGCCCATTCAGCGTGGTTACAGATCATCATGCATTATGTTGGCTCTCCTCGTTAAAAGATCCCACCAGCCGGCTTGCCCGTTGGGCGCTTCGGCTACAAGAGTACGACATCCACGTCGTTTACCGATCTGGCCGAAAACATTCCGACGCAGACGCTTTGTCCCGATCACCTCTACAATGTAGTGACAAGCCGCCGTCTTCGCCTACCCCCGACGTATCTGCACTTAGTGTCAGTGACATGCGACAGGAGCAACGAAAATATCCTTGGATCGCTTCACTTATCAACTTGTTGAATCGAACTCCCTCGCAAAATATCCCTAGAGGTATGCGCCGTCAAATACAGCACTTCGTTATCAGAGATGGTTTGCTATACAGACGTAATTATCTCTCCGAAGGACGCCAATGGCTTCTAGTCATTCCAAGACGTCTCCGCTCAGACATATGCGCCTCCTTTCACGCCGACCCACAATGCGCCCATGCTGGAGTGTTGAAAACCTACACCCGCCTGTCCCACCGCTACTACTGGCGTGGAATGTATCGCTTCGTCCGTCGCTACGTACGTTCCTGTCTCGCTTGTCAACGCCGCAAGAATCCCACTCCAAGTTCTCCAGCTCCACTACAACCCTTACCGTGTCCTGCCCGACCGTTTGACCGTGTTGGTATTGATCTGTATGGACCTCT